GTTTTTGGAAGGGTGGGGGGGAATAAGTCGGGGGGGAACAAGGAGCAGGTCAGGGCTGCGGAGGTGATGTAGAGTGATCCTCGGCCTGTCTCTGGCTTTGCTCCTGCTGCTTGGAGGAGGGTGGGGGTGACGTTTTGAAGCAAGGAATTTCTTTTGTTTTAGACCACATCGCATCACATCACAACCGAGTGCTGTCACGTCGGGGACGTTGTGACAGCAACCGAGGCTTTCTTTTGTCAAAACACACTTTGCGAAAAATCATTAGCTCCGGGGAAAAACGAGAAGAAGGTTGGAGGGAAGGGAGTCAAAGCATTATAAACGGCGAGGGTCTCTCTGGGGTTCTTGTACCTATTTGGAGAAGGCAAATGGCAAAGGCGGCAAAACAAACGGTGATCAGGGGGGGGCATATTCTGGGCTTTTTTTGTTTGTTTATTTTGGGTGGTTCAAAATAGCATAGCATCATCTCTTTTCATTTTCTGTGAAGACTTTTCTTCTTGTTCATATTTCCCTTCTGTTCGTTCTTCTTCAGCATGTTGTGGTGTGTGTAAGTTAGGGACTGGCTGGCTAGTTAGTGAATGCGAAGGAAGAGGGGAGTCGAAAAATACAAAGGAGCGCGTTTGTTCACATCTCGAGATCAAATACATGATGTTTTGTGATGGTGACCTCAGTAATTTGAAGTGCTTGTATTTGATTGATTAAATGACTACCGCTGCCATGTCTTCACCACCGACCAACCCCTCAACATGTATCATATCCCGAATAACTGTCTTGGTAGACTTCGCTGTAATAGGTCAAACCCAACCAAAAAACACACAATTACAATCTCTTTTCCCCCAACTACCTTCTCCCCCATCCTCCTCTCCCAAACCACCACACGAACCCCCTCCAAACAGCAGGTCCAGCAACACCACCCCCCAAAAACCTTCCCAACACGCCCCAGCTCCAAGCCCCTCAAACATCAGCCCACCAAGACGCCGCCCGCCGCCGCTCCAAAAGAGCATTCGTCGTTCTCGGAGGAAACCTCGGCGGCACCCCCCCCCGGTCCAAAGACCCCAAACATCAAACTAAGACACCTGTTGTTGCTGCTGTTGTCCCTCCCCCCCAGTCGTCGCCGCCCCCGCCTCGGTGCCAAACTGCACCGGCCCCTTGGCATACCTCCCCACATACGCCCTCGCCTCCTTCTCGAACTCCTTCCTCTCATTCTTGTACTGCTCCGCGATTCTTGTTTCCAATGGGTCATCCGGCTGCGGCTCGACAAGCAGTTGTCTAATTGCCTCCAGCACAGTGACAATCTTGGTTGACGGCTTCCAATTGTCTGTTTTGAGCAACGAAAGGCAGATAGAGCCGTTTGTCTCGTTGGTGATGTTGGGGTGGTAGATGCGGGTTGCGAAGGTGATGGTGGGAGGTTTGAAAGGGTATTCTGGGGGAAATTGCACAATCAGGCCGAATTTGCCGCCGGAGTAGATTGATTCTGGGGGTGCGGTGAGGGTGATGTGCCAGAGGGAGATGTTGGATTCCGAGGGGAGGGTGATGGTGATGGAGGGGGGTGGGGAGGTGAGGCAGTCGTTTAGCTCCTGAAGGGCAAAAGGTTAGTCAGTTATTGGGGGGGAAAGGGGAAAGGGAGGGGAGGGAAAAGTAAGTACCTTGGTGATTCTCTTGGACGAAGACATGGTTGCTGTTTTGCCTGATTTGGTGATGAGGGGCTCGGTTTTGGTTGGAATAGATAAGGTGGTAGCTCGTTACGGGAGGAAGAGTTTGGTTTGAGAGGGAGAAGATGTCGACGAGTTATGGGATTTGAGAGTGGAAGTAAGAAGATGCCTGGAGGAAAGTAAAAGTGTTTGTAAAGAGGAAGCTTTAGAGGCGTCGGCCAAGACAGGACCCCAAGCACATGCAGGGCAGGCAGACAAGGCAGGTGAGTTTGGTGGGGTTGCAGGTGACGCGCGGGGTGCTGCTTGCCCAGCAGGATGGTGGGACTTTCCCGGCAGGCGGGCTAGCCCCGCCTCCAAATACAGGGGTAGCTCTCGTGAGCTTTGATGTCATTGCTTTTATCAGCAGGCGAGGATGAACTGACAGAATGCGGCAAGAGTAACTGTAAATTCTTAGAAATACTAGACTAGAAGGCAGCGCTGTGGAAATAGGTCATGATGGACTCATCATAAAACATGCAAATCAACGCAACATTTGCAATGCCCCCATAACCCTTTTCGCTTCAAACAGCTACCCGAAATCACGGACGCCCTCAATTTAACCACCCAGAACACATATGCACCCGCCACTGAGCTTAACAGCAAAGCCCTACTCGACATCCTGCTCTAGCCCCTCATCCTCAGTAGCCTCTTCATCATCCTCCCCATCTCCAGCCTCCGCCATCTCCACCGGCCGCTCATGCCCGTCCTCCTCCTCTTCTTCCTCAGCCTCTTCCGCCTCATCCTCATCATCGTCCTCGTCTTCCTCCTCCTCACCATCATATTCATCATAATCATCCTAATCATCCTCATCATCAAACTGCTCCCCCTACTCCACCTCAATCCACCACCTCCTCCTCATGAA